CTCTTTCACACCAGCCCCCCATTACCCCCCACACCCCTCCTCCGTCACACCAGCTCTCCATTATACACCTATCACCAAAGAGCTGTCCCCCTCTTCAGCTCCACCCATCCATCTCTTTATTTACCCATCCTATACCCAGCTCCTCAGCCCTTCCCCACACACCTCTGCAATCAGCCCTCCATCATGCAGCTCTCCTCCCCAAACACCCATCCTTCCTTCCCTCCTTCCATCCCTCTGCCTCTCTATCTATCATACCCCCCAGCTGCCCCATCCATCACCCGGCCAGGCAGCTCCTCATAGATGTGTCCATCCGCAGACATCCTCCATCCACCCACCCTTCCATTCCTAAACACCCCCTCCCTCCTTCCATCCGCCCCCCGCCCCACAGCCCTCTGTCTGTGGGCTGCCAGGCTCTCCTCTCGGCCAGGGTCTGCACAGGGTCCTGAGCTCGGATGTGGCTGGTAGGTGCGGGTGCAATCCAAGGACTTGCACTGTGGCCTCCGTGACAAAGCTGTGAATGAACCCAGCACTCCTGAGCTTTTTCCCAGCACTTGCTTTCCGGGCCCATCTCATCAATCTCCAGAGATCCTTCCCCTCTTAGCAGAGTCCTGGAGCCTGCAGTCCCACAGCCCCCGGACCATATGGCCATGCACCGTGGGCTGACCAGTGCGGGCGTCTGTTCATTGCTGTCTCACTGCTGGTGCTGGCATCTGATTGGCACCCTTGGTGCCCTCTTTATACGCATCTAGCATCACAATAGATAACCAGGGCTGGGACATACCCAGGGCTTAGAGCTTGTAGACGGGATCGGGATACGAGGCTAGATGGGCCCTGGGGGTCTTATCCAAGGTGGTAGGGGGAAGAGGCCATTAGAAACAGGCTGGAGGGTCGCTTGTTCTCCTTGTCTGGTGAAGGCCAGGCAAGAAGAAATGGCAGCGAGGGAGATGGAGGTTAGATATTTGGAAAAACTTTCCAATTCTCAAGGTCATTCACCTTTGGAGTTGGCTCTCAAAGGCTGTAGGATCCCCATCACTGGTATTTTTTTTAAGATAAGATGGTCTAAAGTTACTTGGGCCTCCCTCAGTGTGGGGGTCTGGACCCACTGACCTCTCAAGCTCTCTTCCCACCCAACATACCTGTCAGTTTCAAAAATGGCTAGTACATTTCCAAAAGTGGCTCTTTTTTTAATTTTTCAAAAGTGGCTCATGACTTCTAGAGTCCTGATTTCAAGGCCTTTCTGAAAACTAGGCCCTCTTTAAGGCACTGCACAGAGGGCAACTAAAATAATTCAGGCCCTCAAAAGCACTAGACACTTTTGTAAATCTTGACATTAGACCCAGTCTCGGGCCCCGAAGATTATAGTCACCACAGCCTGAAGTTTCAAAAGTGGTTAATAAGTGTGCAATATTGGCTAGCACATGGCTAGTAATTTTCCCCAAAGTTGCTAGCAAATGTCCAAGAAATTATTAGTGCATTTTCAAAAGTCACTAGTCATTTTTAAATGGTTAATACATTTTCAAAAGTGGCTAGCATATTTCTCAAAGAGAATACTATATTTTCAAAATTGACTAATCAGTTTTTTAAAAGATGATTATTACATTTTTAAAAGAGACTAGTAATTCTTCTTACATATCTAATCACTTTTCTGAAGTGGATACCATATTTTTCAAGAGATTAGTCCATTATCAAAAATTAATAGGGGATATTTGAAAAGGATTCACACATATTCAAAAATTGATAGTATTTTTTTTAATCCTGTACATTTTCAAATATGGTGCTAGTCAGTTTTTTAAAATGGTTGGTCGTTTTTCAAAGGTGGCTAGTACATTTCAAATATGACTGGTAAATATTTTAAATGACAAGTGAATTTTTAAAAGTGGCTAGTAATCTTTTTTAAATAACAAGTTAATTATCTAATGTGGCTCGTAAAAGACTAGTACACTTTCAAAAGTGACTAACATTTTAAAAAATGACTAGCAAGTATTTTTAAATGGCTAATACATTTTCAAAAGTGGTAGTAACTTTTTCAGTGACCGATAAGTGGCATTTGTCAGTTTTTGAAAGCAGCTGGTCAGTTTTGCAAAGGGAACTAGTGCATTGGCAGAAGTGATGAGTCTGTTTTCTTCTAAGCCACTCAAGAGACTAGACCGTTTCCCTAACAATGGCTCCTGCACATACAAAGGCAGTTTACGATTTCTGGTGCCCCGATTTCCATGGCTCTCTGAAAACCAATCCCCTTTGTAGACATTCCATGTTGTTTTCCCCAATCCTGAGTCACTTTTGCGAATGTGTCAGGATTTTGGGTTCATTGTGACAGCGACTGCAGGGCTAACCCCGTCTGGCCTGTCAGTCCTTATCCATTACTCACAATCATACTTCTCCCCCATCCCTTCCACGAAAAGGCTGCCCCTTCAAAGCCAACTAGAACAAGCCCGGTTTTTAAAATGCAAATCACTTTTGGCCTGGGGAACTCCCTGCTGCATGAGAAAGCTGAGTCGGGTACCCAGAAGGGAGTCAGCTGGACACAGAGATGTCTGGGTTAGCACGTGTGTGTCTGCCTGGGAATGCGTGTGTCTGTCTGGAAGCTACGTCTCCCAAGGGAAGCTGTGCCACGCAGCCCCGTTCATCTCCATTCCCCATTCACTGCTGATTTCCCCACTTTGAGCTGCATCCCCCGTTCTCTGCCAAATCCAAGTGTCCGCTTCCAATTTCCAGATCCACAGCCCCCCCCAGTCCTGACCTTGAGCCTGATTTTCAGAACTTGACGTGCAGAGCCGGCTGCGATGACTTCAGCCCTCCAGAGACTGAGACTCCGTGATCCACCCCTGTCGCCTCAGGTCAGTCCGTGCATTTATATCTAGTGGTACCTGCTTTGGAAGCCCTGTGTGGTGGCCACAGCCACAGAGGTTTCATAGCCCACTTGTTGCATCAAAGCACAGGGGGGTTTTTTGCACTGACATTCCCCCTTCTTCTCCCCTCTCCCCCCAATTCTTTTCAGCTCCCTTCCTGATGCAAAGGCACCCTGGCAGACACTGGGCTCGACCCTCACCTCCAGGGGAGGGTTCAGCCTGGGTTTGCAGGTTGGGAAACTGAGGCACGGAGCAGCTACATCTGGGGCTCTGGAACTCTCCTGATCATCCCCTTCCTTCACGGAGAGAACAGGACTGGTCTCAGTTGTCCTCAGCCCATCCATCCCCCGCTCAGCTCCTCAACAACTCCGATCCAAGGTCAGGCTGCAGGGCTGCAGGGGTCAGGAAGGGTCGGTTCCCCTCCTTGAGCCCTGGTGGCCCGATGGCTTCTGGGTTGTGGATTTACCTTCCTCCAAAGCACAAGGGACTCTCCACAACTAGCCATGGCACAGCGGAGGGGCTGGGGCAGTGTTCTCTGAGCCAGTCCGGAGAGCCGTCCAGCTGCTTGGCTGCCAGGTCCGACCCATGGGCTCCTCAGGTTTGGGGGCAGGAAGGGCCTTTCTCCAGGGGCAGCTCTAAGCTAATGCATCCCTGCCATCAGACATAGGTGGCACCACATTCTCTCCTGTTCTCAGCCCATGTCCTCTCCTGAGGGCTCCGCAGCTTTGGCCTAAGTCACTGGACTCCAAACCGGGGGCGATTTGCCAGGCGAGGCTGATCTAACCGGGCCAGGGGAGCAATGGCTCCCCCACTGTGTTATGCTTATAAGAAGCACGAGGGATCTTTTTCAGGGGAAAAGGCAACACGCTGCCTTTATTGAGAATACAGTAGAGAAGCCGTTAGCATCTGCTAAGACAACCCCCCTGTCCCGCCCCCCCGCACAGGTCCTGCAGAATGTGTTTACCAGTCCATGGTAGCTCAAGTCAGTCTTACTGGCCAGGCCAGGCTGTCTGAGGGAGGAATCAGGGTTCCTCTGAGACTCCGCTTGCAAGACTGAACCCAGAGCCCCATGGCGAGAGCTTCCCTTCTTAAACATGTCAGCTCCCATTGCGGTCTATGGATAATGCAGTGTCTGTTCTCCAGAAAAAAACAACAGGCAAATGGTCTGGTAGCACTTTCTAGACTAACAAAACAAGTAGATGGCATCGTGAGCTTTCGTGGGCACAGCCCCCTTCTTCAGATGACCGGAGTGAAGACTAGGGGATAAGAAAACTCGAAATAAATAGGGGAAGGGAAGGGGGGGGAGAGAAAGATGCTGTGTTGCCCACCCCCCTACCTCTATACATAAAGTATCAGGAGAAAGGGGGCTAAACCCGAGTAGATAAAGATCAAAGTCTGTGGATAGATAGGTAAGGCAGGAAGGGTACCATTCAGAAAGCTGTTAGCACCTTCAGTGATAAAAGGTCCACCACCCTATATCTTGATTAAGCCCTTTAGTAATTGAATAGAATTTGCATATGTATTGTAATTCCAAGATTTCCCTGTGGATTTGGCTTGAGGGACTGGCCTGTGACAAGACTGCCACTTTCAGATCTGTGAGATTCTGGTTAAGTAAACAGAGGTGTTCTGCCACTGGCTTCTGAGTATTTTCTTTACGTATATCCGATTTGTGTCCATTGATTCTTTCCCATAGAGAACGTCCAGTCTGACCAATATATATAGTAGAGGGGCACTGTTGGCATTTGATGGCATAGATCAAAGTACTAGATGAGCAGTCAAATGACCCTTGGATTTTGTGGCCAGTGTTGTTTGCTCCAGTGATGAATTCGTCAGTGTAGATATGTGGCCAGAGTTGGCATGTTTTCTGGTTGCAGGGCCGGGTTCCTGGAGGCTTATGATGTGGTTGTGTGGCGTGGTTATCAGAAACAATACATTTCAGGTTGGGGGGTTGTCTGTAAGCAAGAATAGGTTTTTCTCCCAAGGCCTCTGAGAGTGAGCGATCATTTTCCAGGATGGGTTGGTTGTAGATTGTGTATGACACGTTGGAGGGGTCTGAGTTGTGGATTGTAGGTCCCAACAAGAGGAGTTCTGTTATTTTCTCTTTTGAGTCTGTCTTGAAGTAGTTCATGTCGGGTCCTTTTTTGGCTCTGTCAATTTGTTTTTCACTTCCCCGGGTGGGTATCTCAGTTTTATGAATACTCTGTAAAGATCCTGTAGGTGATTGTCTCTGTCTGAGGGGTCGGAGCAAATCCGGTTGTATCGTAGGGCTTGGCTGTATACAGTCGACTGAGAAATGTGTCTGGGATGGGAGCTGGAAGCGTGAAGGGAAGTGTAGCGGTCTGTGGGTTTACGATATAGGGTGGCTGAAAGCTGTCCATTATTTAACAGAGTTACCCTTTGATGGAGATTGTCAGGCTTTCCAGCCTTGTCTCTCACTCTTGGGGGGACGACGGTCTCTGCCTGTCTCCAGGGTTGTCAACGCTGCTAATTCAATTCAGCCTCAAGACACAAGGGCTGTCTCCTCGTTATCTTCAAAGTTTCCACGTCTGCTTGATCACCTGGGCATCTGTGGCAGCTGGCACGCTCACACCTCCTCCGCTCACACCGCACAATTGTACAGAGTTTCAGACAAGATCAATAGTTACTAGAAGACACGACTTAGTTTGCAATGCAGGCATGAGGTACAGCTGAATTTGTAATGCTAACAGGGAGCAAGGCCCTACAGTAAACATCTAATCATGAGAGACACGGAGAGAGACACAGAAGCAGACTGAATTTATAAGCAAGTCATTAGACACGAAATCATTATGCATCGTACTTATAGTTTCATACCCAATACTAAAATATACAGTTTTGCGACAACTGCGGACGGGGACTACTCCCGCCAGGCCGGGTTCGCCGGTTAGCCATAACCAGTACGCATCACCGGGCAAGAGGATGAGAAGAAAGCCCCCAAGACCTGTTTTTAGACGTGACTCAAATTCCCAGTGGTGGATTATGCTGCAAAACCTCCAGGGCTAGGAATTTTGGAAGGGAGGCAAGTGTTCCCAGCAGAGAACAGCTTTCCACCAGTATCACCGTAGCCACCGCTGCACTTGTCGGAGTGATGTCCGTGGGTAATCTTTCCTAGGCGCAAGCCCAGCCTCCAGCTGAGAATCCTGACAATGTTCAGGAGCCGAAGATGTCAAAGCAGCTCCCGGTCGAGACGCTAGAAACGTTTCCTTTCTGTGCCGACCTCTTTGTTTGCACGTGTTCAATGAACTGATGTTTCAGAAAGGAAAGTTGCTTTGAAGCAAAAGAACAGAAAAGAAGAAGAACCACAGTGGAAAGTGAGGAGCCTGTATCCCCATTCTGGTGCCTGCAATTCAAGAAGGACGTTGATCGGTCGGGGAAGGTCAGGGAAGAGCCAAGGAGATGATTAAAGGTTTAGAGGCCCTGCCTGAGAAGAAGACACGTCGGCTGGGTCTCGTTAGCCGAACAGGGAGAAGAGGAAGGGGTGACTCTAACCGGGGCTGCCTGTAAGTCCCTACAGGGGGTGTGTGTGTAAGTTTGATACTAACAAACTCTCCAGTCTCACAATGGTCTAATGAGATTCACAGTTTCATGGATCCCCAGGCCAGAAGGGACCGTTGTGAGCATCCTGTCTGCCCTGCTCTATCCCACAGGCCAGAAGCCGCCCCCCTAGTCTTTCCGAGGGCAGAGCAGCCTGCTTCGACTGAAGAACGGCCAGTGACGGAGAATCCACCATGGCTCTGAGCCAGTTGTCCCAGCAGTTCAACAGCAGCGCCTTATTCCCAGGCTGAATGTGTCCCGCTTTGACTCCCAGCCGTTAGGTGGTTTCGAGCTTCCGCTGCTGAACTGACGGGCCCCTTGCTAAATCTTTGTTCCTCGCCTTGGTACTTCTAGCCTAGCATTGAGTCAGCCAGAGGAAGCTGGACTTGAGGGTGGGGAGCAGGCTGCCTCTGAGTGTAGTTTGGTAGCTCCCATTTGCCCCCTGCTGTCAGGGTAGGAGTCTTCCCAGGATGGGCTGTTCACTTGCACGCAGGCCTGTCAGCCATGCAGGGCTTAGCAACAAAGCTGTGCTGGCTGCAATGGAGGAGAGAACCCAGCAGTCCCGGCTCCCAGACACCCCCACGAGATCCCACTCCCTTCCCAAAGCCAGGGAGGGAGCCCCGGAGTCCTGACTCCCAGCCCCTGGCGCTAACCCCACGCCCCATCCGGAGGAGGGGGGAGCT